CATCCCAAGCCCTGGTTTAAGTCAGAAGGCTGTGGCATTTCGGGATCGAGTGAACTTACCGGCGGGCGCTCTCACGATTGCGATCGTGCTGGCTGGGCATGTCAACTATGCGCTTCTTGGACACTTTAAACCATTCCAACTGCTGCGTTTCTGCAGTTGTAGATTTACCGTCACTTTGTAAGCGGTTTATTTTTTCCTGGGTTTCTGATATCCCTTTGTCTACCTCTGATTCCACATCATCCTTGAACAAGGCACCGTGGCTGCGGAAAAACTCCTCCTTCTGCGCTTGACTGAAGACCAATTTGCTGATTAGCCATTTATCACAGGTTTTCTGCACCACGGGGTCTGCCTCCTTATCCCAAAGCTCTCGAAAGTACTGATACAGCATGGGACCGTTCTTTTGGTAACCGGGTCGAAACAAATTGGGACCGTGTTCGTTGATCTGGGCTTTCAATTCCGACCTGTAGTGCTCTTCCAATGCTTGTAGTTCTTCTCTTTCGAACGTTTGTGAGCCGCCGCTTCCAAGTCCTCGCAGTTTTGACACAATCTCTGGAGCGAATTTCTTCTCAGCTGGGTCTTTTTGCGATATCTCCGCTGCTAGTTTTTGTCTTTTGCGAGCAGGCAAAGCTTGCCATATTTCTCCGAGCGGCTTCAGACTGAATTCAACTTTGCACGTATCGAAGTTCTCTTTTTCGTCAAGACCCATATCGCTCCATATGAACATGTTGTCCATGTCCGCAGCATAACCGAGAAGTACGTGAGGAAGAAGGGTGGAGTTGAAGTGCAGATGTAAATGTGCACCTTTGGGTGCCATTCTGGCGATCTGATATAACTCCTTCTTATCAATCTCGTCCTTGATGTCCAGGAAATGCCCAGTAGACAAGAGGTCCTTTGCCTTAAATCGGGCATCGTCCTTCGCCCTCATGTCTTTCATGCGCTTGATTGCTTTATCTTCCATGCGGTTGAGTGCTGCTTCATCTTCATCGTCCATGCTGCTGGATTTCAGGGATGGGTTGCTATCGCGATTTTGGAATTTGAAGTCAAGGTGCCCGTTGACCTGCTCGCCCGAGGCGATAGCCTGCTGCTGGTTGATAGCCATCTTGTCCCGTATGCGCAGCTGAATTGTGCTGAGCGGATGGTGATGGGGTTGAGACTTATGCGGATCCTTCTCATGCTCGTCGGGATCCGCGCCTTTATCAGTACTGCAGAAAGTACCCATGGGCGCATTCAGAATCAGCGCTGTGGGTTACAAGGACAAAGGAGGCTGAGGAATGAGGACGGCGTGAGTGATACTAAGGGGGGTGGTGGAGGAAGGATGTCACTGATTCAATGGAATGGCAGTGGAGAACGCGCAGACAAAGGAGGGACCATCGGAATCTCATCAGCTACGGAATCTATTGAATCGTGCCAGTACAGACAGGCCACGGAGCGATCAAGTGGTCGGAGCAGCAGGGCATGAGATCAGACAACGGTGAATGACCATTGCTGGATGACGAACGGAATGAAACGAGTAGGTGGGACGGAGACGGCCCAGCCAGGACTCACAGGCCGATGTGGTCGTAGGGCCTGCCTTATGCCACGGCTCGACTACAATATGTATGACTGGCAGCGACAGAGCAGAGGGCTTCAAAGACAGCCTCCGAAATCACTGGACCACTGAGCTTGAGCTTGGTGTGGCATGCAGGCGAGGTATCCTTTGTGCTTGCAGGTACCTACCTCTATACATGTACTTGTATTACGCCTTGTTGCGCGCCGAACGAAACACCTGAGCCGCTGCGTCGCTGCGTCGCTGGATCCGGAGAGGTCGGGCTCACCAAGTCGCTAAGCGCTTACCGCAAAGAGAACACACAGCGACCCCACCTTGGTGTGTATGTATGGAGGTATGTAGAGGCAGTATCCCGAGAGTCCAACAAGGTCCATGTGGCTGCGACTCGCGAAAGTCCATCCCCAAGAGCTTCCCAAGGTGCCGGTTCCCACCAGGCTCCACGTCCCTGCTGGAGGTTCCAGAGCTGCCGCAGATGCTTCCGAGTCCCCAGCCCCCCTCCGAGGGCAGGTATGTGTCGCTGACGACCCATGTGCGGACAGGGATCGCCGAGGACAGCAGGGAGGGGTCATTGTTCAATGGCCATCGATGGATGTGGCGCAATGCAGCATCGGTCGTCGCATGGCACTTTGAAAGCCGACATCATCTGGCTCGTCTCGGAGTGCAGGTGAGCCTCCAGCGACATTTCTCGCGTAGGGATCTCTGGCATTCGACAGGCCGGAAACAGAGATGGATACATGTAGATAGCAGACCATTGCGAACACATCAAGACAGGGTAACTTAATGCTGCAAGCGGCAACATTCCCTTGGGCGTGCATGTACCAGCATTCTTTCCTGCTCTCAATGCGCCCAAGCCGAGAGCTACTCGCACCACTCTACAACGGAAGCAGCAAACAGCTGAGAACTCCGGCGCACCCCAAGAATGCTACCGGATGAGTCCATCTTCGAATTCTCTCGATTTTCCGCTTTCGAGAGAATCTGCCTTCCAACCATGCGGCCATCAGGTCTTCTTTTTTGTTAGATTAGCTATCCCCGCCGTTCAACAATCACGTGCTCCACTCAAGCCCAACAGCGCCACAGCATAGCGGAAAACGATCAAGCCTCACAACGATCTCAGATCGGAGAACCGGTGCAGGTATTTCCCAGTGAACTTGTTAATGAAAACAATGATAGGCGTACTCTTCTATCAACCAACGCCTGTGCAGTAGATAAAGCCAATTCGCCTGACCGTTTCTATGCCTGGCCCCTCCGCTCAGCCCCCAGATATTGTTCTTGCGGGTTGATCATGACCTGCATATGCACTGCCCGCAGTTCTAATAAGCTCTCTCGTGACAAAGTGTATAATCCTCAGGCACTAATGCCTACCGCGCAGGCCTTGTTGTGTCGACTCGTATCGCGTTTCATGCCGTAGTTCAGACTCTTTCACTCAACAATTTACGGAACATGCAAGATGCTATAAACAACGTCCAACTTATCTCGTATGTACTGTAATCACAGATCTTGTCTAAAGTGCCTACGAGTGGTGGCGAGCTGTGCTTTTGCCCTGCGTTTCGCTGTTCCTTGCCAGCAACAATTTGCACATCGTATTTCCAACAGACACAACACCTAATTTCGATGAGGAATGTACGTCTTCATTCAAGCTTAAACGATCACTCTTGGGAACTCTCCTTTTGCCACTGACAAAAGTTTTTTCCATTGCAAACTCATTCATCTTCGATGATAACTCAATCGATACAACTGAGCAATATGACCCGTACTCCATAGGATTTATTGAAGAGGAAACAACTATTTAGTCAACAAGCGACATATGTCATGTCCTGGGGGCAAGTGTTGCCCCGCTTGTATCAGTATTTCATTTGCTTTGAGTAGAGTCTCTCAATTCATGAGAGCAGAAATAAATATTAAGGGTTATCTTTCTCTACAACTTCCCGGATGGAATGTCGCCAAGTTACAACAGAAAGAAGTTAGACGCTCCAAAGCGACACTCCTACACATTAGCCACAAGGATGCTCATAAGCGGAAATTGCCATTAAGTGTTATCACGAAGTAGCCCACTTATTCGGCTTCCCATATATGAAAATCTGACATGCTCCATAAACCATGTAACGACGGTTCACATGTATATCATATATTCTTGTGTGTATTCGGTACATAGTTAGAATCTCATCCCCTTATTGCTCACTCTGCATAAGTGCCTATAACACTTCCGAATGCTTCCCCGATCACCCGTCTCTTATCTCCCTAAGAAGTGTCTAGCCAAACTAATGACATATTTTCATTTGCTTGGAATAATAGGGAGAGTCACATAGTTGAGTAAGTCTGGACCGAAACATATGTGGTTCATACCCTGAAAGATCTCGGGAGCCCTGTTGCGTGCGAAAAAAAGGTCAGTCCGCAAATATGAAGCAGTGTCTCACGAACACACGAGTCTTACCTGTCCACCGGGTCGTCCTGTGCGAAAGTGCCCGATCCCTGCGTATCGCCAGAGGAGACCTCAAAAACGATCCTCCCCCTTTCTCAAAGGTCACATTTGTTGGCCATATTTCAACGTCGACCCTGGTGACCGTCTCACATCCGAGCAATGCGAAGTTCGGGCGACAATGATCATTCTCTCTGGCATAGCCACATTCTGCCTGATACAATCAGTATGGACAGTCCAGAAAGTGTGGACTCGGCGCTTTTGTCAAGTCATTCCCTCGCGAGCGACGTCGGCTGTGTCTTTGGTGTACAAAAGCTCCGGGCGAAACGCCTCAGGACTTCCACAAACCTCTGGGTCGCGAAGCAGACTGGTGTGTCTCCGATCTTGCCTTGAAGTAATAACTCTCAGACACTGACAGTTTGGCCAGGACCTACGAGTTGGGGCGCTTGGGGGGTAGACTTCGCTGAACGCATGCCTTCATCAATGCAAGCTCTCAAATGTCCACACGCCAAGGGCATTTGGCCTTTTCCAATCTCGTCGCAGAGTCAAAGGAAGTGAAAAATTCGCGAACGTTCTTCGCATCTTGACTGATCGCCGGTGAGGTAAAAGAAAAACACTTCCTTACAAGTTCTGGCACAATCAGCTGATCAATAGCTCTGAGTTGCCCTCAGAATTAGTAGTTGGACCCGTGTCCGGGTCAACAAGCTGCAAACAGAAAATAGAAAAACTTGCGTTTTTCGGATTCTAGCCTCTTTGTGTCCTTCTTACAGCGAGCAATCCGTTGTGTACGCTGTTGTAGGCCCGGATCGATCTCAGCGCCAGTTGAGTAAACAGTCGATTGAGGCTACAAAGTTAAAGTCACTTATACTTGTTATACTTGAGCTAGCCACAACACGTATTCGACCAAGTGGCCAAGCGGCCAAGCAAAGCAGGTGCAAGAGCAAAAAAAACACGCGACTGATAAATCAAGTCTAATGAGATGTATAGGCGTGAAGCCCGATGCGGGGCTCGAACCTGTGGCAGCTAGGTTAGAACTGTTGCGATCGCCAGGATTCGAACTGAGACTTACCCGCAACCTTGGGATTAAAAGTCCCACGCTCTACCGATTGAGCTAACCGGGCGATGTGTCGTGTGGGTCATTCTGATTTCTGAATGAACAGCGGGTCGCTGATGGATATCATGAATCATGATGGTGTGTTAGTCTGGAAGGCGTTGAAGTCGTGCAGTTCACAACCTCGTTACATCTCATCTGTAGATACGATGTATCCCTCTGCTCATGGCCTACTTCAAGTTCTCGTCGATGCCTTATGAACTTCACCTGGAATCTTAAGTTGAACTAAGAAATTTGTGAGCCCAGGCTCTCTTGGAACCCGCAGTCATACAGCAGATTTAATGCTTGGAGTAATCATTTCATTATACGATTTTGGAGTCATCGTATGTTTTCTCGTTGCTATATGCCTCAACATTCGGAACCTAGAATAAGTTTACATACTGCGTATTAACCGTCTTTACCCGTTGGCCTTTAGTGCGCATTGTCCCGCGTACGTAAATTCAAGGCGCTCCCAACATTCACCGAGATGCCGAAGGAACAGCTCTATGTAAAAAGTTAATTCTTAGGGAACTCACTATAGGGTGGAGGTGGGTCATCAGACAGGTCCTCATGCGGATTTTGGGAATCTCTGGCATGATTATGCTGACAATGACGGTGGTGGTGATGAATATGACGGTAAAACTCGCTCGGGCGAAGGATATTAAGCGGTTGCCATACTCCTGTATTCCAGTGCGGCACTACACCAGGGTCTAAGGCCAAGCGCCTTGGGAACAGGAAAATAACCCTTCCTCTGACTCTGTCCTTGAAGTGAGCGTTTAGACGATTCTCGAAATCCAGAACTCTGTCGGTGTTTCCTGCTCGGGCAAGTCGCCACATAGCATGCACGAATATGTAATAGAATGCATGACTATTATGCGAGAATAGAAAGGCCCAGCGCATAGCCGCATTCATCTCATGGTTAAGAGTGCGCCAGATTTGGTCTTGGTGGCGGGCATCATTCCATGTTCCTATCTTGATGATCCTCAGAGGCACCCTCTCGGCTTGAGGGTCCCGATCTAACGGAATAGGAATCTCTTCTGTCCCTTTCGAGAGAAAAGATTCACCGAACATGACGGAAAAGTATGGGTGCCATTCATCGAGATTATCCTTTACGATGTCAGAGTACTTGATTTTACGATGCTTGCCATGCTCATATACCTCAAACCACTCCTTGGGGGTATGTTCATGATCGCGGTGCACGAGTTTCGCAACGCATCGTCCGAGCGCAGATCCTGTCTGTTGGTGTGACATGGCAATGAAGTTTTCTAGAACTCACAGAAGACACTAGAACAGTGTATTGACTGGCAAGTGGGCAACCCTGAAATGTTTGCGCTATTTATTCCGCGGAAGTCGAGCGATTGTTACATTTTTTGAGGAACATCCTATTTGTAAAGACCCACGTCTCTTTGACAGTCCTTTTCGCATTACCTAACAAAGCTTCTGGCCTTCGCTGCCCAATTTGCTACCAGAAAGAGGAATCTCTGTTACTCTCGATCAAACTCGAAGTTTATATATGGGTCATAAGATTCTGGAATCTTTCTGTTTCTTCTCGAATGGCGAAAGCGCGCGCCATTCTCTCTCGCGAGACTTCAATAAACTCGTGCAGCGACTCAATCGCGAGCTGGATGCGCCCATGTCGGACGTCCAATCGACCGAGCCGAAACTGACCAACAGGATCGATTGGGATTATATCAATTCCCTCGACTCTTCTCTCCCTAGCCTCTTCAACCCTTGCCCGAGGATCATTACGATGGCTTTCAGCTGTTCGACTTTCAATCTCAGCCTACGGACCATAACACTTGGACTAGTGATGTTGATGTACTCTCTCTCTCTCTCTCTCGAAGAGGTGGCAGTCTGTTGGATAAGGGGCTTTCAGCATCATCTCCCGGATATAACAACTTCGGGATTCTCAACCCTCCCAGCGGGCTGAGGTATTCACCAGCAGCAAACAGGAAGTTATCCAATTACTCAAAGAGAAAGAAGATCGAACTCCACAACAGTGAGATATCCCTTATCCTGCACATTACAACTTACCTTTTTCCAGAGGCAAAGTCGCAAATCAGCATCGTAGACGTACTTCACCACGCATAGTTCAAAAGCCCGCCCAAAAGCTAGTGCAGAGGGACGACTATTATTCTGTCTAATTCCTAGTAGTAGCCATACTTCAGAAGCTTGGCTTGATACCAGGATAGGATGTTTACTCATTGTGATAGCGCAGGTTTCTGAAGACACCAGCGTATTGCAATAGGGGCATGCTTAGTCAGCCAAGGCATGAATTATAGCTACCCCAATAGGTAGGTATTGTACTAGATAGCTAGTTTTTCATCACTAGCATCATCACGAACGTACAGTCTTTACAGTACTCTCAAGATTTTATTGCAAGTGATCAGTAGATTGCCCTTTTTAGTACTGCCTCTGGCAGTCATTCCAGTCATTATCTGCAGCATTTTTACTATGTATCTTCCTCTTTTTCAATACATGAATACTTGGTACTTTGATCCATAGTACTTCTCCGGCCTCTTCACTGAGGCGCGCTACCCGAACTGCTGATCCTCTACTTCCGCTGCTCATTCAGCGATCTCTTCCCCTTGTCGTCGTCACCCAGAGCGCCTCTGGAAGACTGGCTGCGTGTTCTGGATATATGTAGGTCCTGAAAGGCGCCGTCCAAGCTTTGCCTGGCGATGCGGTGACGCATGCGCCTGCCAATGCTCTTGAGCCAGTCGTCGCCTCTAGCAAGGATGGTGGGGTCGTTCAGTATGGCAGGCATGCTCATCTGCTCTTCGGATTCCCTGAACTGCTGAAGGAAGTGTAAGATTTGGCTGACGAGCTTCTTAGTCTTGTCCTCTGATTGTCCCCATTGTGCAATTGCAGCAGACAAATAATGCCACGGTCGTGCGAACATTGGTCCTTGTTCTGGTCGGGGGTGGATTATAAACCCTCCATCTCTCAGTGCGGCATGGGCTATATCATCGAGATGTTCGAAGTTCGGTAGCCCTTTTACCGCCTCTATCTTCGGCACATATCTATCCCAGAATAGGCATTCTTGGCCGTTGGGCATTGGTAGCTCGTACTTCTGAGCGATAAGGTCGGCCAAGCCGCACATTTCCCATCGAAACTTGATTGACGCCACGACTTCCATCATATCGAACCATCCTTCCTCTGAATCAGGATTCGACAGTTTGTTCGGTCTTTTCCCGTCCGCACACCGGCGAAGTTGGCCACCATACGATATGTTCACGCCTGCGGTCCAATCTCCAGGGCATGTTCGTGTAACAAACAAACGAGCGAGTTCCTGGGCCTGGCGATTGCGCATGTTCTCGATCATTTTCTGATTGAATGTATCGTTGACACCGTCAGACTTTGCAACAGGAGCGTTACCGCTGGAACTTCCCTGGTTGCTCGAGTCTACGTCCCACTGAGCCTTTGCTTCTGGTGAGCCTTTGTATTCCACTACTGGCAACTGATTCCACCTTTTCTCATAATGAGATATTTGAATTCCCGTTGATCCTGTCCATGAATGGTCCCAGTTTTCGTGCCGGGCGCTGTATGCGAAGGTGTGCATCGAAGACAGCCGGGTAATATTCTTGCAAGCATCCCATACAGAATGGCAGAACTTGTTATAAGTGGTGGTTTGTTGCGCTGTGGGCGATTCCGGTTGAAGAGGCAAGGATATCTTGCGTTCTTTCTCATGTCCTGCTCTGGTTGGTGTACTCGGTGCCGAAGCTTCGATAAGCGGGCTTGCGGTGCTGATCAAAGTGTTGACTAGAGAACTGACGAAAACAGACCCAGAAGCTCGTCCCATGCTGTCTGATAGCCCCCCGCTGTGGGATTGTTTTCTGTGACCAGCTGCTATAGTTACTGGATTGTTGAAATCGGGGTCAATTGCCCAGCCACCAGAGAAACAGGCGTTTGTAATCAGGGTTACTTGCGCGCGGGGCTCTAGATAGCCCCTGAGTATCAATGCTGAGAGGCCTTTCCCCGAGTCCAGGCTGAGCTCGTGAGTTTCTAAGCCATGACAAAAGACCAGAAGGATCAACGGCACGTCTTTCTTGGCAGCCGCATCAGATGCTTCTTTAGCCTCCTTGAGGAACCTTTCAACCATCTCGCTTTCCTTGACCACGGTTGGCTTGGTCAACTGGCCCTTCTTCATGAGATCATCACTCAGCACAACCTTTCGGTCCTGGTACGGGTTTCCGTGCAATAAGGCATCTCCATATCCCTCTGCCTCGTACTTCTTCAAAAGAGCATGAGGATCCACAGCCGTGATCCATTTTTGTGCGCTTCCAGTATCCTTGAAGAGACAGTTGAAAGCATAGAAATCGGACACTGCAACACTTTGAGTCAGTAATTACTCTTGATAGCCTGTGTGCGCATGTTTCGGGAGTCTTGAAACATGTTTCTAGAGCACTTGCTGCCGTGAACAAAGGAACTGACTCCCGAAGGTAGCAAATAACACCAGAAATTACCCACAGAACCATCCATCGTCACAGGGAAGTGATTTACTGAGAGGCGGGGATACTGCTGCCAGAATATAGGAGTCTTTGTGGATGACCGGAATTGTCCGGGAGATGTACGTAGAGGGCGCCTCATTTGGATTTCTCATGTGTGCACCTTGGACACCCGGTGATTTGTCGGAGTAGGAAGCCATATTCGTTATACAGATAGCTGGTTATTTGTGGTGTTAGTTAGATGGGTGAAGATGGCTGTTATAGATCGTCCAGCAGGAGATCTATTGATTCCTTTTGTACGCCTGTACGGGCAGTAGCTTGGCTGCTCGAGTGACTCCTTCGCTTAAGTTAGCTTTTGCGGGTTGCAGCTACTGAACTTTGTTTATGGACGCGGTTCAGGCTAGGCAATGAGCACTTATTCGTGATATACGTACCCCGACAGACATTATTTCCGCAGATTTCAGGCGCTTATTCACACCATGCAAGAATTCTTGACGCCTCGTCAGGTTGAACTACCACCGTCAAAACAGAAGGCGACAATCATGGCGTGGAATCATGTCGCCCGGGCTAATCAAACCCAATG